TTTCCGGGGCAGTATGTTTGCCTGCCCCTGCCCCGGTGCCCATGTCCCAGGGACTCCTGAGTCCACCTTTCCAAGACAGAAGGAGTCTCCCAGCCAAGGTCAGTGCAGGGTGGGGCACAAGAGGCGGGGCAGGCACTGGCCCTAGCCCGCAGCTGGTGGTGCTTGGTGCACCAGTGCCAGAGCCTTTAGGAGGCTGTGAGGCTGACCGGAAGACGCTTCCCTGCCAACCTGGAGTCTGGCTTTCTTGGCCATCCAATTATATCCCATGACAAGCTGCTTGCCAACTCCCGACAGTTCTGTTTCTCCTTCCTCCTCTGCTCTGCCTGTCCTCGTAGAGTTGGGACTGAAAAGAAAGTTCCTTACTAAAGTCTTGTGGGGACCTCCAGGCACTGAGTCCGCGGCTGTTACCCAGAATGCTCCTGTGTGCCCGGCCTGGCTCTGGGCCTTGCTCAGTTCCACTGATCTGTTTCTCTCACAACACTTGCACCACTGTGGTCTAATTAATGTTATTTTGTAATATGTTCTATTCAAAAGACGGGTACTCCCTAATTTTTATTCTTTGCAGTATTTTCCTGAGTAGTCTTTCATGTTTTATGTTCCAGGTGAATTTTAGAATTGCTTTACTGCAGTTTTCTTATTATACTAAATTTATAGACTGATCTGGAAGAGAAATGACTTCCAATACAAGATTGTCAATGTGTCTCCATTTACTGGGGTCTCTCGTGTTTGGGGCAGTTTTGGACTGCATTACTTTTTGTGAAGCCTTTACTTTATTTGTTTTTTATTGTTGTCATTTTTATTATTTATTATTATTTTTATTATTTTATTATTTATGTATTTATTTGGGGGACTTTGTTTCTATAGAGAAGCCCCATTTCCCTTGCTATTTTCTAGCTGGTTTTCACTATGTACGTGAGAGGTATTGATCTTTATGTCCTCATTTTGGGTCAGAGAAGTGTCTATTTCTTGGAGATTTGATAAAACTATAAAAGCTTCCAAGTTTTCCTTTTTTTCAGTTTCTTCTAAGGTTATTGGTTTATTTAGGTTTTCTATGTGGACTAACTTTTGGATTTATATTTTCTGTCTAGTGCAGGTTTATCAGAATTTTGTTATTCCTTTCTGAAACTCAGAGTTTTGAGGTCTTCCTTTTTTTTTGGTTTTTTCTAACTTGGGTCTCAGTGATACTGATTTTGGACACAATTTTGGGGTTTCCTTTTCTTCCTAATGTGTGGCCAAATTCAGAACTTATTCCACACATGCTTGAAAATGGCGTGCTTTCTGGTTTGGGCTTTGAACACTAGAATGTCTTCATAATTCAGACTGTTTACACCCTTGCCTGTTTTGTCTGAGTAAATGAATCAGTGTACCCAGATAACTGTAGCCTCCTTCACCTCTTCCCATCAGCTGAAGTCCTGGCGGTTGAGGTTGAGTTTCTTATCTCTCAGGTCGTCTCAGTGCCTTGTTCGTTTCAGGCTTCTGTCCCCCTGAATGCTTTGTATGTCCTGAATGTTACTGTGATGCCTGCTTGCTCTTTATTGGCTCTTCCCGGTGTGTATTCCTTCTCCCCACCTGTTTCAGCAACTCCTGCTCATTCTTAGTTACCCCTTGTAAAGTATTCACACCTGAGCCGTGCTCCTCACCTGTCACCGTGTTGCTCCCTACTGCCCCCTCTCCCCATCTGGCCTCTCTTCCAGACCAGCTTCTAGAAGCACCTGGCCTCCCTGCTGGCCCTCCTTCCTGCCTGTCTGTCTGCCGTGGCCCCTGCCCTTCACAGCCCTGTGGACCTGTAGGGGAGCTGGGGGAACTGAGGCACACTGGACCCCGTGGCTACTGTCCTCCTGGGCCTTCATACAAGGGAGGGGAGGCAGTGAATGCACAGGTGACTTCACAAGCAAAACTGGAACTGCTCCCCAAGTGTATCCTGCCCAAGACATTCTCTCGGGGCCAGAGGGCAGGGGCTGTCACTGGCCAGTTGACCGTGCGGCCAGGTCTTGCTGTGCACCTGCTTTGCCTCTGGGTTTGGAGGTGTCTGTACAGGAGCCTTAGGGCTGGGAGCGTTCTGGAATGTGATGTCCAAATAAGCCCCCAGTCGTCACGACCGGAAGAGGGTGGCAGTAACAACAGTGGTGCTGGGGGTGACATGTTTCTGACACGTGTTGTGTGGACCTATAGTATTCACTTCCGTTAGACCTGCCTGCTGGCAGAGCAGCCCCAAGACACTCCCTGGACCTGCCTCGGCTGCGGAGGCCCACACCTCCCATAGGGAGTGTCTCAGGGGTGACTCGGGCACAGGTCAAGGGGGTACATTCTGAGGCCTTCGGGGGCAGGAGGGCATTGAGGGAGGGTGCTGGGCCCCGTTCTGTTTCCGCTGTGACCTCAGCTCAGAGCTCTGGGTTGCCCGTGTGGTGGTCTCCTAATTCCGCAAGAGCAACAGGATGTTCTAGATTGTTTTTAGCATGAAATTCCTCAATTATCAAGTCCTGTCAACTAAACAGTGTATTTTTAAAGTGTCCTGTGCCCTAATGAGCCCTCTTCAGCCTGCTGTCGCCCCGAGGTAGTGCCCATGTGTGGGCCTGAGCTCGACTGGGGCAGAGGGAGTGTCTAGCCTCTTCCCTGGGGAAGGATTTTTCTATGGAAATTACCATCTTTCTGTCTTCCAAGGTGGTTCTGAAGGTGAGCTGTCCCTGCTCGTGAAAATGCAAAGAAATAAATGTATAAAAATAGAGTAGCAATTCCTCAGCTCCTCTGTCAGTTCCGAGTGCCTAGCATCTCCTCTGGGAGTAGTGAGGAGGCCCTGAATCATCCCAGGCAGCTGAGCGCACTGGGCTCTGCCCGGGACGGCCCGCAGGCCAGCCTGTCCTGGAGCAGCCTCGGCAGGCCCGCCCTGGGTGTGCAGCATTGTCAGGCCAGTGTGCCCATGCACGTGTGTGGGGGGGGGGACTTCCTGCCTGAGGGCCCCCGAAGGTCCAGTGACCCAGGCAGCTGCTTGGCCTGGCCCCTGCTTCCTCCCCTTTTGGTCAAAGGCCTCACCCTCTGCTGCTCACCTCCCCCTTTACTGGGTGTCGCCACATCCAAGTTGCCGGCCTGAACCTTCCACCTGACTGTCAGTTTTCCTTGTCTGAAGCAGAGCAGGGGAAGGAGCACCCTTCTGACGGGGTCCACCATGCTGGGTGTCGCCGTCTCCTCGTTTGCGAAGTAGGGACAGTAATTGCCACTGAAGATGCCCTTGTCTGCCTGGAGAGATGTGTGTAGGAGACACAGGTGTCCTGCAGCTCCTTTCTAAGGCCTGGTTTCCCTCTGGGGCGCCCTGTGCCACAGTGAGACAGAGGCATCAGATAAGAGGCTACAGGGACAAGGGACAGGGCATGAAAGGCTGGGGACAGGGTGGCCATGCCCCGACAGCACTGTGGCTGGCCCTCACTCCCTGCCACAGCGGCACAGGCTGTGAGGTCGAATGCCACCTCTGTGGAGGGTGTCACGTGACCTCGGCCCTGGGTCCTTCTGGGGCAGAAGACTGAGACCCGCCCAGGGGAGTCCACAGGGAAACACGAACTTGTGGCATGGACCTGGTTGGGACAGCGGCCTGTAAAGATTTGGGGTTGGGGCTCAGCAGGCAGTGGGCAGTGAGGTCTGCAGCTGCCTTTGATGCTGAAGGTCAGCTGGGCGTGCCCCTGTGAGGTGAGGGCAGGGAGGCTGGGAACTGAGGCCACTATCCAGGGTGAGCTCCAGAGGCCACACTGCAGACAGTGGTGACTGGCCTGGTCTCAGGGGAGCCCTGGGCCCTGGCCGCCTGGCTGAGGCCCCACAGGGTCCACTCCCCAGGATGGTTGCTGCCCGTGGCCAGATGGGCAAGTTGGCCCAGAGAAGACTGGGGGCCCTGAGGGGCTCGTGTTGGGCCCTCACTGTGCTGTCAACCGGGGGGAGGGGGTGGGCACAGCTCACCGGGTCGGGTGGGAGCAAGTGCCAAAGCCCGCACAGCTGACGTCAGGGGCCTGGCTGGCGACGCTGGGAGACACAGCTCCCCAGAGTAACAGGGTGGAGGCACACAGGACCCGGCCTCTCCACTGCCTGGCGCCAGCCCTGGGCTCCCCACAGCTGTTGCCATGCTGGGTGGGACCCCTCACATATACGGGAGGACCCCGAGGCCCTTGTGGGAGTTGGAGTGGCTCCCGGGGACCGGGAAAAGAGCGGGGGTTGCTGCGAGGGTGAGCTGGTGAGGGGCACCTGCTGCCCACCGCGGAACTCCGAGTGGGGCCCACGGCGCCCGTGCCGCAGGATCCGGGTTCTCCTCAGGGTTTCCATCGGTCTGTGCGTGACACTGAGAGTCTTCAGGGGCTGCTGCACACTGTCTCGATCATCGCTGATGCCCTCCACTCTTCCCTCTCCTCTTCCTTCCTCAGAGCCCTTTCCCCAGCTCCAGAAGTCCACCTCCCTGTCTCTTATGAGTTATCCTTTATTTTGCTGTTTAAATTATTTATATTTTGAATTGCTTATAGAAGAAATTCACGCGATATTTAATCTGTGTCTAATTTATTTCTCTTAACATTATGGTCTCAAGATCCACCCATTTTCCTACAGATCACCCAAGTTTACCCTTCTTCGTGGCAGACTAGTCCCCCAGGGTGTATATGTACCACATTCGCTATCCATTTATCGCTGGGTTGGCGTCTAGGCTGTTTGCGCGGTGCACTGCACTGCTGAAAACGATGCACGGATCACTGTAATACTGAGCTCTTTCGGGAAGATGCCAGGGGAGGTACGGCTGGTCAGGTGGGATTGCTAGTTTTAGTTTTCTGAGGACTTTCCATACTGTTGTACTGTTTACACTCTGGCCAACAGTGCAGCCCCACCCCATCCTGTGCGGGCTTTGAGTCCTGGGTCACCACAGGAGACAGGCAGTGCTGGCCCCTGCTGGTGCTGGGCCTCCCGGGGGGCGGGTCTCATCCAGCCGACGCTGGGATCCCAGCTGCTCTGCCGCTGACCTGGTGCTCTTCCTTCAGGGGCCTCTGCGGACAGCCTGGACAGCCTCAGCCGTGCCCTGGGCGTCCTGGAGGAGCGAGTCAACGGCTCCCGGAGGAGGGTGCGCAGGCACACTGCGGACGACGACGACTACAACATCGAGGTGCTGTTGGGTGTGGACGACTCTGTGGTCCAGTTCCATGGCAAGGAGCACGTGCAGAAGTACCTGCTGACACTCATGAACATCGTGAGTGGGGCTGGAGGGCGGGGCTTGTGGGCGGGGTGAGCGCCAGGGCTGGACAGGGTCCCCCGCAAAGCTGCACCTTCCAGGTTTCCTCTGGAGCTGGAAATGAGTGTGGTTCTCACAGGAAGCTTGCGGGGTCCACAGGTGAGAACCTCGGTTTTCTCATCTGCAAATTGGGATGGTTGAGTTGGGAAGGCCGTTTACAGACGAAAGCAGGGTTTCACGCGCTCTGCGTTGTGCACTAGTTTTCTTGACATTTGCCACTTTTAAAATTGAAAATTACTTTAAAAAATCCTTGTGGGTGATCTGAGTGAAAAGTTCCCTGTTTGAAGGCAGCGCGCCGCTCCCGCTCCCGCGGGCTCTGAACCCGGGTGCTGCTGTCTGGCCCCGCCGAGGTGGGGAGCGGCGATGC